GTAAGAGTATATATTTAAAGTAGATAATTAAACGAGCAAATTAAATGAATTTGGATATGCAGAAGATATTTTTAAAATTTAAGGAACCGCAGAAAGAGGGGGAAGGAAACCAAACTTTGAAATGTGAGATTGATTGTAAAGCTAATGAAATGTATAAACCTGAAAAGTGTAAATAAAAACTTTATATTAAAAAAAAAATGCGGAGGACTCCCCCTTCACTGCAGGTTTCAAAGCAGAGGTTGGGCAGCCATCTTTCAAAGAATGTTTCAGCTGAGATTCCCGCATTGCTGGGGTCAGGCCGGATGACCCCTGGGGGTCCCTATCATTCTGCGAACTATGGAACTCGCTCCCACAGGAATGGCCACCAGTTTGAATGGTCTCCAAAGAGGGTTGGACAGATTAAATGCAGGAGAAGCCTATCTACGGCTACAAGCCACAACGGCTACGCTCTTCCCTTCGCAGAAACGTTTCTGAATATCCGTTGCTGTAAACCGCAGGAGGTAAACTGTAAAACCGCGTACAGTGGTACCTCAGGTTAAGTACTTAATTTGTTCTGGAGGTCCGTACTTAACCTGAAACTGTTCTTAACCTGAGGTGCCACTTTAGCTAATGAAGCCTCCTGCTGCTGCTGCGCCGCCGGAGCACGATTTCTGTTCTCATCCTGAAGCAAAGTTCTTAACCTGAAGCACTATTTCTGGGTTAGCGGAGTCTGTAACCTGAAGCGTATGTAACCTGAAGCGGATGTAACCCGAGGTACCACTGTAATAAAAAAATAAAGAAAAGACCAGAAAGAAAAAAAGAAAAAACCAGAAGCGTTTTTTATTGGGAATTTTAGGTGCAGAAATACCAAAGGAGCAGAAAATACTCTTTATGTACGGGACGACAGCAGCACGGATACTTTTGGCCCAGAGGTGGAAAGAAGATAAAGTCCCGACCAGAGAATAATAGCTGATGAAGATGATGGACTATGCTGAAATGGCAGAAATGACCGGGAAGATTAGAAACCTAGGAGACGGAAACTTTAATAAGGAACGGAGGGAAATTATAAGTTACCTTGGAGAACACCGTAAAAAACTAAAAACTTTGATAGGATCATAACAACACTTGTAATGTAAGAAGAACTATGGTAAAAATGGAATTTTAAGAAGAAATGGAGACTGTTATAAGATGCAGTTGAAAATGACAGTGGAACCCGTGGAGGGAGGTCTGAGGATTCATGGAATCCTATATGTTTATGATTATAATTACTGTTTGAATATAAATGTAAACTAAAACTGAGTAATTTAAAAAATAAAATAAAAAGAAAAGAAAAGATTGGGAGGGGACGTCAACAGAGCAGCATCGCTCAAGCCACCTTAACCTCAGCGTTGGAAATGAGGCGCGTTTTTTTAAATCTAAAATGTACAATCTGTTATTATATTGGGAAACAAAAGACGAGCTTGTCGAAGCTTCTATGACGCCTTGGGCAATAGATATAGGACAGGGGTCTGCAACCTTTAAGACAAAAAGAGCCACTTGGACCCGTTTCCGAAGGGAAAAAAAACTGGGAGCCGCAAAACTCGTCATTATAAAAATAACTTTTTTGTCACTTTTTTATTATTTCTTTGTTTGACCCCTCAGAATTACTCCTCCTCATAGAAATAAATGTTAAATTAACAAGTTACCTTTTTGTGTGTGTGTGTTCTTCACTCCCCTTCAAAACAGTGACCAGTGTACATGCCCCCTTTCAATGCAGTGACCAGCGTACATGCCCCTTACAATGTAGCGGGCGGGCGGGAAGGTGACGTCGGGACGGTGCATGACTAACGCACGCACCGCCCCCATGCGACGTCACAGCCAGTACAGCGCCCGCCACAGTGGGGAGTGTCGGGGCGCACAATGCGCCTCCTCCCCTCGCTAGTATCCGCCCCGGAGCAGCGGCAAAGGTGTAAAAGAGCCACATGCGGCTCCGGAGCTGCGGGTTGCAGACCCCTGATATAGGACATAATATAGATTTTGATCTTTGGGGAAACTTTGGAAGAGCCATCTGAAGTTTGCAGCATGTTATTCTCTGAAGGAGGAGGACTTGAAAATTATTCACAGATGGTATTTAACTCTCGAGTAGGCCTGCTAAGATGTATAAGACTGAATCAGGTAAGTGCTGGAGATGGAAACAGTTTGAGGGAATGTTGTTTCATATGTGGTGGGCCTGTAAAAGGGTAGAAGAGTATTGGGAAATGATATATAATGAATTGCAAAAAAATGTTCAAAAGTACTTTAAAAAAAAACACACCAGAATTCTTTTGGTTGGGGATAATTCAGATGGAAATTCCCAGGTGTCAAAAAGGGTTATTTATGTATGCCACTTCTGCGGCCCGTGTTTTGTTAGCCCCAAAATGGAAAACGAGTCCCAACCAAAGAAGAATGGCAACTTAAACTGACAGAATATGCGCAGCTTGCAGACTTAAAGTACAGAATAAGAGAACAAGAAGAACAAACGTTTAGAGAAGGTTGGAAAACGTTTATTGAATATATTTGGGTGGGGGGGGCTGCGTACACCTGAAAAGGTGGGCAACATTAAGATAAATTCAACAGTGTAAATAAGTTTTGATGGATGCAATGATGGAATACGGGATGGTTTATTTAGTTTTTTGAAAATACACAAGGATTCATGATATGCAAAATGAATCGGAAAGAGAAGAACGGAAGTTGTTGATATTCTAAGGATGTTTAATCGAGTACAGTAGTACCTCTGGTTGTGAACAGGATCCGTTCCGGAGGCCCGTTCGCAACATGAAAAGCTCGCAACCTGAAGCGCCGTATTTGCGTAGGTGCACGGCGCGATGTGGCGCTTATGCGTGAAGCACAATTTAGCGCTTCTGTGCATGCACAAGTGGCGAAACCTGGAAGTAACCCTTTCCCGTACTTCCGGGTCGCCGTGGGACACAACCTGAAAAAACGTAACACGAAGCAAACGTAACATGAGGCATGACTGTATTTTGAATTGTAAAATAGAAAATTTAATAAAAATTATGAATATAAATAATGGGACGCGGGTGGCGCTGTGGATTAAACCACAGAGCCTAGAACTTGCCGATCAGAAGGTCGGCGGTTCGAATCCCTGCGATGGGGTGAGCTCCCATTGCTCTGTCCCTGCTCCTGCCAACCTAGCAGTTCGTAAGCACCTCAAAGTGCAAGTAGATAAATAGGTACCGCTCCGGTGAGAAGGTAAACGGCGTTTCCGTGCACTGCTCTGGTTCGCCAGATGCGGCTTAGTCATGCTGGCCACATGACCCAGAAGCTGTACGCCAGCTCCCTCGGCCAGTAAAGCGAGATGAGCGCCACAACCCCAGAGTCGGCCACGACTGGACCCAATGGTCAGGGGTCCCTTTACCTTCAGTAGGGACGCGGGTGGTGCTGTGGTCTAAACCACGGAGCCTAGGGCTTGCCAAACAGAAGGTCGGCGGTTCGAATCCCCACGACGGGGTGAGCTCCCGTTGCTCGGTCCCTGCTCCTGCCAACCTAGCAGTTCGAAAACACGTCAAAGTGCAAGTAGATAAATAGGTACCGCTCCGGCGGGAAGGTAAACAGCGTTTCCGTGCACTGCTCTGGTTCGGCAGAAGCGGCTTAGTCATGCTAGCCACATGACCCGGAAGCTGTACGCCGGCTCCC